ATTCTTTGATTCCATGATTCATGATCAATTTGCTCTTCTCTCCTACTAAAAGTACAATATGGCATTACAGGAGTGCTCACAAATTAAGCCACAGATAAAGAAGAGAGGAAAGCACAATGGCCATAATGAGAAACTACTGCCACATTTACTCAGTTTATGCATTTCAGCACTCACGACTTTTACATTATTACCACAGGATGGCCTACATTATGTAAGAGACACAAAACCATACGCTACCTAAATATTTTGAGTCCTTAAATGACACTTTGCATCATGAATAACATACTTTCAGCACCAAGTAGATAAAAAGTGTTCTCAAGCTCCAACAAGAACTTCCAACATTTTTCTGATGTGACAGTAAGATAATGAGAACATCCTACCACGTGTGACAGATAATTCTTATAGTAAAAATCTCTGTGTGTGGGCATGTACATTTGTACACAAGAGATATAAACGAGAATGACCAGGGGGTATAAGAAAAACAAACCCATTTGGATAAACAAGTATTTTTCATAAATTTACCTGAGACTCCAACTCCTCCAATTTACGCTTCCTGGCATGAAGAGCTTTACTTGGAAAAGCCCAGAAATAATTGGAAGTTCCAATTCTATCAGTGTCCACCATGCCATCATCAACTAGGCTTTGCAGAATCTCTTTCACTGACATCGAGGCTAACAAAAGCAAAAAATATCAAATTAGAACTGCATAGCATCTAAACTACGGAGAATTATGAATACACAACCCACTATCTATAATCACCTGTATGAATATTTTACTCTAATATTAGTCAGCTAGCTGGAAGATTTCAAGAGGACACCCACCATGCCAGAAGCTTCCCTTGAAAGGATGAATCTCTTTGAAATCAGCAGTCTGTTCCTAAAGACTGCTATTCTGCACATCTGCTAACAGTTATTTGCAAAACACCACTCATGAGTATCATACAACATATATGCATACCACAGTACAATACCATAACAAACCCATGAGAGGTACTTCAGAAGTTGTCCTGCAATCTTAATTCTAATATGGATTAATTTACAATTTCTTGATTAGGAGTGTAATTACATTTCCCTTTGTAATGCTTATCAAAGCATTTAATAGCAGCAGAGGTACTAAAGCCATCTGTCTACAGACTCAGGAGGGACAGATTCTACTCTTGATTTTGTTCAGTTCCAATACAGAAACTCATCTGCAGCTACAAGGACCCAAAGTGTTTCTGAACATAATTGATCATTTTCTAGCAAACCTGTGGTATAAGTTACCATTTTAAAAAATGATGCCTGTTAACAAAGCAAAATAGTTATATTATCCTCAAGTGTTGAAGACATAGGCTTTTGAGCTCATTTATGGGTTTTGGTATCTGATGTTCAATTTCTAGTCTAAAAGGGATCCCAGATCAAGATCCATGTTTTGGAAGCCATAGGTTGGATGCCAGGATGGGGCCTTTACACAGGCTAGTCATTTTTCTTTTCAGAGTAACTGGGGTTTGTGTTGTGTGGCTAAATGCCTTCATATGCAGAGGCTGGATGAATTTGGATTATTCAAAGACGTTAATAGTTTTAGAAACTCTACACTTGATTTTTAAATATTAAATTCTACGGACTGCATTTACCACAAATTACAACTGAATATATGCACTTGCAAACCAATCAAGACAGCACCACGTCTCTTCAGAAGCCCATGAGTGCCTGTTAGCTGCTGACACAATTGAAAAACTCTGCTTTGTGATATTCACATCTGCAGTTCTTTCAGCAAGTTCATTTATTCTTGCAATGCCACCAAGATGTGCCAGTCAAGGACAGTGGCAACTACATGATTCTGCTTTGCCCCCCTTTTGTCAATGAACATAGAAGGAAGAAGAATGAGGAACATATAAAACAACTCAACAGCATAAGATAAATCCTCTTGGACCTAATCCTAAACCAATGGATCTCATCAGGAAGGCTTTCACTGAAAAGAAAAACTCCTTCCATCTACAGCTGTCCAGCCATTTTTGGAGGGGAACAGCTCAGCAGAACGCTGTCAGTGTATGTTTGGACTAGCATTTAAAAATATTTATGACGTTACAGACAGATCTTTAAAACCGAGTGCATATAATGATTTCATACACTGAAAGTCACTGCAAGTCAGGCAACTTAGAGCCTAAGAAAGCCCCCATCCCATGTCACTTTTAACACTACAGCCCTGCCATTGACCAGTCTCCCATTCTAGGTATTTTTTCCATTATTACAACCACAAGCCTAAAATTGTAGCCAGGAAAATTTACGCTACATGACCTGTCCCAAAAATGATTAATGGCTCAAGAGAAATAACTTTTATAAACACTTACTAATCCCTTTTTCTTTTGGAGCAATCTTCTCTATATCCTTCAACTGGAACACATCTTTCTGTGCAAAACATAAAAGACAATTTAGTTCCAAATGACAGCATCATCTAAGCCTGAGTGTTTCTTACACTAAATCAATGCCAACAACAGCAAGTAGGAAATACACTGTATGTTTCGGTTTTGCTAGTGAAATGGGCTGCATATTCCTCAACAGAATTGGAATGTTCTTGAGCATTAAATAATAAGAAAAATACTATTATTGTAACAAGCCCTGTTCTTTCCTTCGGTACTCTGAAGTCACCATATTTTGCCTAGTTAGACCATAAAGCCCTTAGGGTACACAGAGCCCAGGCCAGATTGCCAGCACCGGATGCACCACATTGCTCAAGTACTCGTGTCACAGTATTTTTTTTAATAGGTGAAACATGGTGGATTACATATGCCACCAATACAACTGAAGCTCTGCTTTTGTATCTCCAGGTCTCTTCCCCCCAGGGACCTCTTCTAGGTCTGCTCTCAGCTTTTCTAACACTCAGATTTTTTTCCTTCTCCCATAAAATGCAGTGAGATACTTCCTAATCTCCTACTGTCCCTCTTATGGTAACAGACTCAAAAAGAAACAATGTGCATAGGTAGCACATGAAGATTTTAACACATCTGTGCATCTTCATGCCTTGGCTCCACCAGGAGATGATCCACCTGATCAGAAGCTAAATGAAGGAAGCTTTGTGCCTGTAATTTATACACTGATGACACAGGGCATCAGTGAAATGCATATTGGGATACAAAGTTCATCTGCAGTTAAGCTCCTTTCAGGACATGTTTTCCCACCAATGTAAATGCAGGATAATTACAAGTTACTTACTGTTTCAAAAAAGATCTCCATCATGCGAGCTCTCTTCTCCTCAAAGCTCAGACCTTTTTTCTTGGACTAGAACAACGAAAAAAAAAAATTCAGCAATTTGAATAATTAACAGCTGCTCAGAATTCAAATCTATTTACCTCTAAGTTATATTCTCCATGCTTTAAAATACCTTACCACTAACCCCAGGCTTTCTTTGCAAACTACTTCTTCTTGGTCACTACACCAAGCTCATTCACCTGCAATCTATTAAATAGAGGAACCTACCTTCTAAGTTTGGAACTGACCTTTCACACAACCCAATCCATTCAAGGTTTCTTGAAAAATACCAATCCCAAAATGTGTATTTATACCAAACTCACGCAAATTTTTAATAGTCCTTAGAAAAGAAGGAATATCTTTTTTTTAATAATTGTTTTCTAGCTTTTAATATACACACGGTACTGTGAGATGCAGGCCATTAAGGTTTTTTTTAGGAGATAAAGAGCATTTTGAGGTATGTATTTCTTCAAATGTCCTACCAAACTTTATAATTTCAAGGTCATATTTTAAAAGCTTTGCTGCTGTTATTTCTTTTCTCTACAGTTGTGTGACCAAGCAGTAAATAACATAGGTTGAACTTGAAGCAAAAGGCAGAAATGGCTACTCACAAACTGCTACCAGCAATACCAAACTGATAAATAGTCTCCTCTGATCACTTTCAGAAATGCTATTTTGACATGCCCCTTGTAAAATTAGAATATAAAATATTTCACAGAGAATTGGAGTTTTATTAATAGCATTTAGCATAGTCCACAACAACTTGAAAGCAGCTGCCATAATGTGAATCCAAAAAGTTTCCCCTTGCCCCACTCCCTTCTTCACAAGCTGTGTGTGGCTACAAGAAATTGAAAGAGTGATAGAAAGAACACCAGAGGTTGCTGGCAGAAAAAGGTCTCGTTTAAAAAAAGCCAAAAGACTTAAATATTGTTGCCCTTGAGTCAAAGGAAGTGGGCATTCTAATAACATGATGCTCTGAGAAAGACATGGTTATGTTTCCAAGTGTCAACAGAAGGGAGTCAATACCATTTTTACTTTTTAACGCTGCTTCCTTCTTAAATAAATCACATGACAGGGCAGCACAACATTTAAAATGTGCACCAAGAGCAAACCAGCCAGACTGAGTTAATTTTAAAAAACAAATGTAAAAGGTAGCTTATGAAGCTACAATAACAGAGACAGGAAGAGAAGCAATTCAATATTATATTTAACAAAAGCACCATTACTTTTTTAAGTCTCCTCCTTTCTGCTTTAGCCAGTGATGCCCGATGTCAGCACTGATGTCACAACTGTCTCCTACGATGTCACTACCTTGCAGGATTAAAGCCTGGAGCCGCCACATACTTGCGCGTAGGAGCATGAACGGAGAGCAGACTGATTAACTTCCATCTCCCTGCCTTCCCAAACAGCCCTGACACCGTCAGCAGCCAGAGGAATAAAACCTGTATGTGCATGACGTGGAATCAAAGCGGCCTTTCTGAACGCTCGTAGCGCGTCCCTTGGGCGCCAAGTTTCACACCCGCACTCCAACAAACAGAGCAAAGCAACCAATCGAAGCGCGCTCCAGATAAATGTTATTAACTTTCACGTCGATTTCTCCCTCCTACCCCGCTGGCAGGTGCTCCCCACCACAAATACAGACCGCACCAGGCGCATCCCCTTTGCTGTCGCTCACGCTACCGCAGGCAGAGGCGGGTGTGCGGTGCTGTGAGCGCACTCGAGCACACCTGCGATACACTCTCTGCCCGCTCCCACCTCCCCACGGCCGCAGCCAGAGGCTCAGCCTGCTCACACCTGGGCCCCCGAGTCCCGGGGGGACCAGCGGGCGCCGTGCCCACCCCGAGCCTCTGTCACGGGGCTATGGCTACTCCTCCAGGTGCCACCTGACTTTCCATCGCCCTTCAACAAACCAAAGGCACAGCCCACGCCGTGCTGACGCCGCGCCCCCCGACCCGGCTCCGTGGGAGCTTATCGGGAGCCGCGGTGCCTGCCCGGAGCCCGTGCCCCGCTCCCCTCAGCGGCCGCCGGGGCGGAGAGACAGCGGGGCGCGGGCGCCCGTCACACGCCCCCTGCCGCGGTCCCGAGTGGCAGCCGCTGCGGCTCCCTCAGCAGCCGCCGCAGCCGCGCCCGGGCCGGGCGGTCGCTGAGGCTGCGGCGGCCGAGGAGCGCGGGAGGAGGAGGAGGGCGGGCGGCTCCACTTACCATGGCGCGGTTTGATTTCGGCGCCGCCGGGCGGGAAGGGGCCGTGGTCAGGCCGCGTGCGCAGCGCCGCCTGCCGCCCGCCCCTCGCTCCCGGCTGTCCGGGGGCGCCGAGCCGCGGGACGCAGGAAGGGAGGCAGGAGGCCATGAGGCTGCCGTCCCAGGGCAGTTGTAGAACACACATCGTTTTTAGGCCACCGCTAACATGCTCGTGTTTTACCTTTTTTTTTTCTTTTTTTTACCAGCCGGATGGCGCCATAGAATAAAACCGAGGGGACAAAAAGAACGCGGTAACGGCGGTATGAAACGACGTGTGTTGTACAGCTGGCCTGTCACAGGAACCGCAAGACATGGAGAAATAAAACCCTTGCTGACCGTGAAAGTGAAGGGCCTGGGCACATCTGGTGTTGCATGTAACAGTTGTTCATTGAGATGACTGTTCTAGCGGCTTTAATTACTTGCATCTTGTTTTAATTATCATTTGTGTTGTAAGTCACTTTCCTTCAGCTACAGGATTTATGGGAAATTGCTTTGCAACAGCAGTGGGTTGATATCTGCCATACTAATTGTAGAGTTTAAATTTAAGTAAATGAAAACATGCAAGCTGAGATGTTCAGGCAGTCTCTGAAGATTTTTTTATGCCTTTTGCAAGATGCCCCATTCCTGAAACCCAAGGTTCGTTTTCATGCAGACCTGGCCCATGATCCTGTTCCTCGTTGTGTGCACCAGTGTATCACTAAAAACGAAATGCAAGTTAGAAAGGATGTTATTAATACAAAGCTTAAGGTTCATACAAAACACAAAGCTTCTTGTTTTTTCATTCTCTCTTGTGCAGCACATTTTCAACTCGCTAGCTTGAAATGAAATCTGTTGGTACGCCCCCTCATATGCTGTGAGAGCTCACATTCTGTCTCCTTGCTTTTCCCTTCCTTTGGCCAGCCCCAAAAGTATGTCCCCACGCTCCCTGTGACAGTTCTTTTCCTCCTGTCACACTCACCTCTGCTGCCCGAGGGCGTGGGCCCCTTCCTGTTCCTTCACAGCCTGAAATAAAACTGAGCTCTGCTCTGATTTTTAACTGCTGCCAAACAAATGGTTGCTGCAACATTTTTTGCTGTGTGGGTTTTCTCCAAGTGACACATGTGAGCAGCAGAGTGGGTGTCAGAGCTGAACATGCTGAACATGCAGAAGTGGAGGAGGAGAGGGAGGAGGGGGTTTCTTAGGGTCATTCACTCTGAAGTGGGCTTGGGGCGTGTACCTCGTGTATTCTGATCAGCATGTGTGAGACAGCAATGCTCCCGTCTCCCCATTACACCTGAAAGTAGACTGTCAGCAAACACCTGGGTCACTCCCCCAGGTAGAGCCAGCACATGGCTGGAGCACACACATGGAACCATAGCTGGAAGACATTCCTTGTTTCAGCAGTGATCGCAGCAACCAAGACAGCCCATTTGACTCAGAAACATTAGGTCATGCTCTCAGGCAATGGTGGGTAGGTCGGCAGGTTTTCTCTGTCCATGCCCCCTGGGGACAGCCAGGCTCAGCTACCCTGACTGCACTGGCAGCTCTGAAGCCTTTTCATGGCCACATTACTGGGTCCAATTTGCTCTGTAATTAGAGGTTCCCTAACACCTCCCACATTTTGCAGTACCAGCTCAAAAGTAATTAGTTAAAAGACCATGGGGTGAAAGAAGTCTCAAACAGAAGGGGAACACACAGTAGTATCTCGTGCTGTGTCATTTCAAGGTGACGAAGTACTGTATTTTCTCTAACTCAGGAACAGTAAAAAACTATTTTTTTTCAAGGTGGTTTTCTGTTACTGGGTAAAGTGGAATGAATGATTCCTAAAATACATAAAAGTCTGACGTTTTTAATTGGCTTCAGAATGGCTAAATGTGGTATTTCACAAAACTGCTAGTCATATGCTATGCTAGTTTTTTACTGTTCCTGAGTTAGAGAAAATACAGTACTTCGTCAGTGTTAAAATATGCTTGGACGAGATGAAATTTGTACCCTCCACTTTGCTCTTACAAATCCGTAGTTGAATGACATTCAGAAATTCTGTTTTGAAAGGACACTAAAGTGACAATGGCAGGAAGGCTAGGAAGTAGGAGAACAAAAATTGTCCTACTTTAATTTTGTTCCTTCCATACCGTATGTGCCATAGCGCAGTCTCTAAATTACGAGCTATTTTTTCAGCAGAAGGGAAGAATTCACATTGAATAGCAGATCAGTTTATTTCTAGAAGTGTAACAGCAAGCCTTTTGAGTCCTGTGGCTGCCTCCCACAACACCCATATGACTGACAGCAGTAGAGCTTAACCATGGAGGACAAGGAGAGCTCTAAGAGATGCTTACTCATGGGAGGTCATACCAACTTCTCTGAGGTCCAAGCAGTCAGTCATGGGCTGTGACCAGTTATCAGGAAGCAATATGATCCATGAGTATCCCATACAGGCCCGTCTCTGCAGCATCTGCTGCCTCATTTCAGCCTCAAATGAGCATTTGGACTGTAAGCAGATGTTCTCTCTACAAACATCTAACCCAATGAGAAATGCTAGCGGGCCCTCCTCCAAAACTGACTGCTTCCACAGCTTTGCTAGGCAGAGCTGCTGAAGTAAGCATTACCAATATTAGCATTGAGATGAGTTGCTTAAATACTAGGTTTTTGGTATAACTAGGCATTTCACTGAAAGAACAAGTCATTCACACGCCTAGCTCAGCCAACAGATCAGAGGGGCAGTGGTCTTCAACTGGACGTAGCTAATGAGTAGCAAGTGGTGGGTATCTATTCCACCAGCACAGCTGGGGCCTGCCTAGGGAGAACATCTGTCCACAGAAATTACATTGACTGTTCCAGTCACTGAGATACTTTTGGCTGGTCCAAATTAGGCAGCACTGTGGGATAGTTAACTGCAGAGCAGCACAGCTGTATGTGAGAGAAAACTTCAGCCTAACGAACAAGGAATTGGTACATCTGAAGATTCTGTTTATCTTTGTGAGCAGGTTCCCAATCACACTGAGTTCTCAAATGATTCAGGTTTGGAGAGTTCATCAGTGACCAAGAAGACATAGGTACTATGTAAAATGAAAGTTAACATGAACTGAAAATTTGTTCTTACAGGAACAGAGTCAGACTGAACTCCTAAGGCAAATTTTCTGTTCTTCCACAATAATTTATATTTGATTTTCTGCAGCAGACCCTTGAAAGATGATAGCACAACATAGCTAAAAGGTACTGTATACTTCTGTGATGCAAATGGAAAAGTTTATGACGCATAATCTTACTGCCACCAGTGAAAATGTTAATTTTGATTATTGGACTGAAGAAGGAAAGGAGGAGACAAGGAAGTTCCAACTCTCCACCTTCTTCCCAAGAACAACTCAAGTCCCTCTTTCCTCTGTGTCTACATAAAAGCCTAACACCCATGAAAAAAAATCAGTTTTCTTGTGACTGTGGCATCAGGGAAAAAAACTGGAAAAAATTACCTGTCTTCCTGCATTATGGCACTACTTTTACAGACAGTGAATATGAGACATATCAGAAATAAATCCTCAACCATGAAAATAACAGAGGAAACAAGCTTTATTTTTATTATTTGAAATTTTTGTGCGTGGTAAAGGTACACATTTGACTCTGGTTTTCCTACATTTCCAAGACAGAATAATTTTTTTTTTAATCGTCGGCTAAAGCATCAAGAATACTGTGGCACACAGGAAGCTAAAACTACACACACACACACAAACACTTTGATGCACATCTTTCATCCTTGGCTTTAAGGAGAAAAAGGTTCTATTTAGCCTCATAGGGATTAAAAAAAAACAACCAAAACCAACAACAATAAAAAAAAAAAACAAGTGAGAAGAATATTTCATTATGAGTTTCAAGAGAGTGCAAGGCTTACATATACACAAAACATATGAGATTGACTTACAAAGATGGAATGTACAAAAACTTTAAAAAAAAAAAACCCATGAAAAAACTCACTCACTCCTAGAACTGGAAAGCTGCAGCATATCAACTGGTAGAGATTTCTAACAGGGGCTGCTGCACTATGCATCTTAGGGAACATTCCCATGTCATAAAGCCAAAGCAAAAGTGTTAGGGTTAAGGCTGTGTTGCTCACAAACATCAACTGAAGTGCTGTACATGTGTCAGAAATAACAGGACCTGTTAGGAATCTTCCCCCTCTGTAGCACAAATACCTTTCGCACACTTTCCACAAACAGGTCAAATAATCACTGCTCACAATTCTTCAAGAAAATTTTCCATGTACATCATGATTTCATAACGAGCTGTCTCCCACAACTGAAAGTCATTTCTTTATAACAAACAGAACATATTGGGCACTTATAGTTCTCATGGCAACACTAGATCCTTAGTTATAAAAAATATCAACATAAAATCAAAAGCCCTCTAGCTTTTACAGAGCAGATGGGCATGTACTAATAAATAACTATCCACCTTCATTAGGCAAATGTGTGCCTAAACCATTTTCCTTTTCTTTTTCAGCTACATTGGTGCTGGTTTAGCCTACGTAAAAATCTCCTACTGCTTATACTGGATTTATCTGAACAGATCCTTTTATTTTATTCTATTCACAAAACAATGAAAACGCAGTTGGCTAGTTTGTCCTAAAATGCTCCAAATGACACAAGATCTAATAACCTTTTGAGATTACTTTTGAGTTGAAGATTAGTTAAATGAAGCACATACTTTCACCATTCATGCTGTGCTGCTAGTCAATTAGCATTCCAGGGAAAGCAAGGGAACATTTGGTTATACCTGAAGTCTGGCAGCAGCGTGCCTATAAAGCCTTTAATAAATGCTAACAACTCAGCAAATCATGTAGTGCAATTCTGACGTTCCCTTAATTAGACGAGAAAAAAATCTGCCATTTTTTAGTACAGAATTTCTGCTTTGGTTGCTCTTTGTAAGGTTTCTAAGCCAAGCATTTTAGTGAAATTGGCTTCAGAAGCACACTGTAAAAGCAATGTGTTTCTTAGTGTCCCAGTGCCAGGCAGATAAGGTCAGACCTTGGAAGGGAATGCCACTGAATTTGAAATTGTAATTGGCCGCATTTGCTATCAGAAGGAACTCGAAATTTGTGACATTTTTCAGGTGCTTCTCTGGTGATAATGTCTAAAAGTCCTGAAAAAGGACTACTCAATTTTAAGAAAAAATCCACAAAATCCCTAATAGCTTTTAGCTGGGTTGTAACGGGGTTGTGTGCAGAATTCCGTATTTCATCAGGATGGACTGGGTTGACAAGGGTTATATAAAATCATGGTAAACAATGCTGGACCAAAGGGACTGAAAAGCTTTTGAAGAAAAGTGTGTACATTAAATAGTACAGTATTAAATATATGTTTTGATATATAGGTTAGGATCTGATTTCTATGCTTCTCAAAGTTCCTGAAAGCAGAGGATTTGGCGATGTTTTCTGAGGGGTAAACATGCAAGTTTAGTAACATTGTATTATAAAAATCCATATTTGGAACTAGATACAATAACTGACAGCAACAGCACTTTTTCATTTTCTCTTAAAGTTTTTATCTCATAGAATCTGTGCAAACCCTTCTCTTTGCTAATAA